CTACATATAACCTCCTCCCTGGGGGACGGACAACAGAAAAGTGGGTGAAGGGAGACGTCGGACAGGGCAAGATATGACAAAATAACAATTTATAAACTATCAAGGGCTCATGAGGGAGGGGGGAGCGGGGAGGGAGGGGGAAAATGAGGACCTAATGCCGGGGGGCTTAAGTGGAGAGGAAATGTTTTGAGAAGGATGAGGGCAATGAATGTACAAATGTGCTTACACAATTGATGTGTGTATGGATTGTGATAAGAGTTGTATGAGCTCCTAATAAAATGATTTTTAAAAAGAAGAAGAATATCAGTAACACCAACAAATCTCCGGTTCTATTGTATCACACTGAAAACTTACTCTCGGCCCAAATCATAAGTCCACAACATGCCCTGGACTTCAGTAAAAGCCATTATGTACTTAACGGCACCAAAATTTTCCATTAAAAAGAAAAGAAAAAGAAAAAATGGTTCTGGAGCTACTGAAAAACTTGCGGTTACAGAATCGTTGATGAAAACCTTGTGCTGTACAAGAAGGGGGTGGCAGGGCCCACTGAGAAGACATGGTAGCTAACCATGAATCAGACCGGCTTCTTTCTCTCCCGCCCTCCGTTTTCGGAGGTGAGAATTCCTAGGTTTCTTGGGGAGCCATCTCAGCCTGGTTTCCCTGGCTCCCCCTTCCCTTTGCTGATGCCTGTAGGGCTGCGGCTTCGTTTTTTGCAGGTGCAAGTGTCGCTGACACCCCTTGAGCTCCTGCTTCACCCTCCCGCTGCCCTGGGCTGACCTTCCACCGGGGCATCTGGGCCGTGGGGAGGGCGCTTGCCGGGTGCCTGCGGACCGCGGGCACTGAGCGCTTTTTCGAAGTTGGGGTGTCTGCCCGCCGCCGGAGTCGGGACGTTTTCCAAGATTGCATAGCAATCCTTTTTGACGGAGCCTCATCCTTTGTTGTAGCTCCTGTGGGAGACTCAGACCAGTCCCATCCGCAGAGATTCTAGAATTTTCTAGAGGACCTGAGCTTGGGAAACTAGCTGGAAATTCACAAAGGGTTCCTGAAAGCCAGCGGCAGTCTGAGGGTGCCCCCGTGTGTGTCCAAGGGAGACTGCAGCGCCAAGGGTTCTCTGACGGATTTCTCGCAGGTCGGTGTCCAGGGCTTGCTTTGCTCCAACGTGCTGCTGAGCGGACCTGAACCTGCCACCTTCGGGTGCAAGCAGCTAAGGGCACTCACCATGCGCACCACCCAGGGGCGTCCAAACAACACTAATTAAAAGGAACGGCCAAGTGGAGGGGCCGCAAAGTCAGAGGTGGGTTGGAGCAAGGGGGGATTCAGAAAAGGGGTGATGCCGATCAGCAAGGGGCATCAGGACACTTGGTTAACCCTGGTGACGATGGGACAACCACTCCCGACCCCATTCTCTATCCCCCAGATATGTCCTAGATGGAGAAAAGGTTCAAAGGCAGAACGAAAAAACAGCAGGAAATATTTTTTATTAACTTGGGGCGATGTTGGCACAGCGCAGTGGCTGTCAACCTTCCTAATGCTGCGACCCTTTCATGCAGTTCCTCATGTGGTGGTGACCCCCAACCATAAAATTATTTCCTTTGCTACTTCATCACTATCATTTTGCTACTGCTATGAATCAGGTGACCTTTTTGAAAGGGTCGTTCGACTCCCAAAGGGGTCGAGACCCAAGGTTGAGAACCGCTGCCTTAGCTGTTTGCAGGACCCAGCAAGCTGCTTCTTTAAAAAAAAAAAAAAAATCATTTTATTGGGGGCTCGTACAACTTTTATCACAATCCATCCATCCATTGTGTCAAGCACATTTGTACATTTGTTGCCATCATCATTCTCAAAACATTTGGTTTCTGCTTGAGCCCTTGGTATCAGCTCATTTTTCCCCTCCCTCCCGGCTCTCCTCTCTCTCATGAACCCTTGATAATTTATAAATTACTATTATTTTGTCCTATCTTACACTGCCCGATGTCTCCCTTCACCCACTTTTCTGTTGTCCGTCCCCCAAGGAGGAGTTTATATGTAGATCCTTGTAATTGGTTCCCCCTTTCCACCCCACCCTCCCCATAATGCCATTCTCATCACTGGCCCTAAAGGGATCATCCGCCCTGGATTCCCTGTGTTTCAAGTTCCTGTCTGTACCAGTGTACATCCTCTGGTCTAGCCAGACTTGTAAGGTAGAATTGGGATCATGATCGTTTTGGGGAGAAAGCATTTAGGAACCAGAGGAAAGTTTTATGTTTCATTATTGCTGCACTGCACCCTGACTGGCTCGTCTCCTCCCCGTGACCCTTGTGTAAGAGGATGTCCAGTTGCCTACAGATGGGTCTTGGGTCCCCAATCTGCACTCCACCTCATTCACAATGATTTGATTTTTTGTTCTTTGATGCCTGATACCTGATCCCTTCGACGCCTCATCTGAACCACCCAAGATCCCAGCCTGAGTTCTGGCAGCCTCACACCGGCCTCCAGATGCCGGCAGTCTGCAAACCAGCCAGGCCGTGAGGGGTCGTAGTGTCCTGCAGCCGCTGTAGCAAATCACCACAGGTTGCCAACATGTCGTCCCAAGAGGCCAGTCCCCCGAGAAGGGCATCAGGTTTGGTAACGTGCGGGGTCCGCAGAAAAGAGGAAGACCGTCAAGGACAGGGATTGACACCGTGGCTGCAACATCGCAGGAATTGTGAGGGAGGCACGGGACGGAGCAGGGTTTCCTTCTGTCTAGAGCTGCTAGCAGGCACGGACAAACACCTCCACCAAACAGCAGAAAGTGAGCCTCGGCTGTGGGACCAGGAGTCTGAAATCAAGCCTCCATCCGGGGCCTCCAAGTTTGGAAAGCTCCTTCCTCACTTCTGGCTTCTGGGGACACCAGGCATCCTGGGCTCGTGGCCCCACCTCTCCAGCCTGCCTCTGATGTCTCTCGGCACCTGCTCTGTGTGCGTCTAACTCTCCTCCTCACTTACAAGGGCACTTGTCACTGGATGGGAGGCACCCAGTGGCACAGTGGGCTGCTGAGCACAAACCCAACATTTTGAACCCACCAGCTAATCCACAGGAGAAAGATAAGAACCTGTACTCCTGTAGTTACGTCTCGGAAGCCCACAGGGGCAGTTCTACCCCGTCCTACAGCGTCACTATGAGCTCGGCATGGACTGGATGGCAGGGAGCTTGGGGCTTGGTTGTCTTTGGATTTAGGACCCTCTAAGTCCCGATGTGGCGGATTGCTCCCATAAAGGTGACAGCCTGAGAAACCCTTTGGGGTCGGTCTCCTTTGTCCTATAGGGTTGCTGTATGGCCCTTGTCGCCACAGACTTGGTAGCTTGCACAAATGACAGGGTCTTCTCCAAACGGACCCACTGACATTGAGCTGGGTCTGCCTCAGAGCAACCCTGTATGGGTTTCTCAGGCTGAACTGGAAGCAAATAGGCTCACTTTTCTTCCTCGGAGTGGCTGGTGGGTTTGAATCCCTGACCTGGCGATGAGCAGTCTAATGCGTACCCAACAGCGGCACCAGGATTCCAACGGGCAGCACAGGGCTATGGAAATATCAGGTGGCCCACCAAGGGGTGGGGCAGCTTGCTAATAATGTAAACACTGTGTGTGGTGCCCTTGCAGGGGTGCGGCCATGCAATCAGGTGCACGGAACCTTCACAAAGGGGCTGGTAAGTTTCTCTATCACACTAGGCTTACAGTGAGCTAGGTCAGAGGTGAGATCAGGGGGGTACTTGCTGGCCATCAAGAAAGAGCCCAGAGTGGAGCGCATCCCGGGCTCCTGCATGGGGACCTTCCTCAACTCAGGAGATGGGGAGATGTGACACCGGGGACAGCAGCCGGCGCAACAGAACCGAGACCAGCCTGAGCCTGAATGGTGGGTTTTCTGGCCCACGGAATCACACAGCTAAGTGCTTCCGGGCAGGCAGCTTGTTGGCAGAGTGGAGGCCTGTGCGTACTAAGAAAGCTTGGTAACACTTGCCTATGCAGGGCAGAAGCCAGGCCGAGGGGCCACACAGCTAGACGAAGAACTGTATCCTGGGTGCTTCCTGATCCTGAGTTGTAACCTCTTTCTTTCCTAATGACCTCGTGATCGTGAACACGGTGAGTTGAGTGTGACCACGGCAGAAGTAAAGTGTCAATCAAAGGAGAGTGGATGCCCGATCAGTAGCCTCCCGCTCCTAAGACTCAGACTGGGTGGGTGTTCTTGAGCCTATTCCCCGTGTGGAGTTCGAGGCGGCCAGACACAGGCCCCACTCCCTCCTCCCACCCCACAAATGGGTTTGGTGGGGATTTTTGTTAAGGCCGAAAGAGGTGCCAACGGTCTATACCAGGCTGCAAGAGGTGCCAATGGTCTATACCAGGCTGCAAATCTACAGGTTGAGGGTTGGAACCTACCCAGTGGTACATGGGAAGAAAACCCTGGCAGCCTGCTTTCTTTAGGTCTGAGCCACAAACAGCCACGGGACAGGTCTGGCCTGTAACACACAGGGTCACCCAGGGGTGGGAGGGACACTAACAAAGTGACACCGAGGAGGATGCCACCTCGAGACCCTCAGCTCCATCGTACCTGCACCTCCACACCCCACATCAGGTCCCATCCATAGGACATGCCTTTCAGGTGGGCCCCGCCGAACCCACCAGGAACCGTTCTCGCCACCCATCACGTCTGAGCACTGTCGTCTGTGCAGACAGATCAGGATGGGTGGGGGCCCAGGACTCGTTAGGCTTCGGACGGACTCTGGCTGGCTTTCAAAACCTTCCTGTGGAGTTTGGGGTGTTCCTGCCCTGAGCCCTGATTAGGCCTATGGGCAGAAGGCTCGTTTTGATCTTACGGTTCTGGAGACACAAGAACAAGGACAAGGAATCAACTGCGCCCCAGGCACCAGCTGGCTTGTGTGAGTGTGGGTTCAGGGAGCAGCGAGCTCTGCAAGACAGCCTCTGGGCCTCGGTTGGCCCCGTGTGTGAAATGGGCCCAGGTCCAGAGGGCAGAGGAGCGGAGGTCACGGTTGGATGAGCACATGGTTTATTGGTGGCAGGTGAGCTCTCGGGCAGTGGCAGAGCAGGGGCTGGGGTGGGGGGTGGGGGTGGGGGGACACGACTAGAACTCCACCTTGCAGGCAGGGAAGCTCTCGTCTTGCATGGCCACTGTGCTGTTACTGCCCAGCACTGTCAGCCCCATGGCCTGCTGTCGTGCGTGCGTCTCCTGGTACCACTCGTGAATGGCTGCCGACTCAAAGGTGGGGATCAGGGTCACCTGTGGGGAAAAGCAGCCACAGTGAGGGGGGACACCTGCTCCCAGCCCATGGGGGAGGGATGTCCTTTCCAGACATCTGGGGCCCTTCTAGCCTCTTCTCTGACTCTGGAGCTCGGCATTCGGCTCCTTTCTTACTCGCAATGGCTACTACCCGTGTCCCGGGCCCCTTCCCTCCACATGGCATCACACCCACCCTCCACCTCAGACACACCCAACCACCCTACTGTCCCGCCTTGACTCTGCTCACAGCAGTTCCAGGTGGAACAGGCAGTGTGAGCGAGCCTGATCGCCCCACTCAAGCCTGCGCACCTGTGCTGCCAGCACACTGCCTGGTCTCAACCCCAGGTTCCCTACAGCCTCTGGGGATGGCCGCAGGCCTCCTCCCCACTAGTCAGCTCTCCCTTCCCCGCCCTGCAGATTGCATGTACCCCCCTGCAGGGTCCCGCAGTCACTATGTTGGCGTGAGCGTGCTGTCTTGGGAACTGGGGCCTGCCCCTTTCCACCTAATTTTCCTCAGATCCAGTCAGGACGGGCGCACACCTGTGTCTGCGCCTGCAGACCTGTGGCCTTGGGATGCGTGCAGCCTGTCTCTGTGGTGAGTGACAATCACACTCTCTTGTTCCGCACAGCCTCACGTGACTGTAACACAAGCGTCTCGTCATTGTCACTGTCCCGTTCAGGGGCACCACTGTGGGCCCAAGTCCTGATCACTGGTCCTGTGAGGGCCTCCTGCCTGGAAATAGGGGTTCCCTTTGGTACTAGTGAAGTCCAAGGGCTCCTGCTGGCCGAGGCCCTGTACTCCCCCTAACCCCACCTGAGTGGTGTCCGTCGAAAGGGTGAAAAGGGGTGGGCAGACACAGACCGCACGGGGGCTCGAGCTGCGTGAAATACCGCTATGATGACCAGAAACCGGTATGGAAGCTTCTCACCCCAGAGCCTTGCCCACGCGTGCTTAGATTCTGCGCCTCCAAAGGGTAAACGCTGCTTCTCCAAAACCCCCACCAGGTGCAGCTGTTTGGGCTACCACAGGTGCAGAGACCACCTCCAGCCCCCAGGACCTGTGCTCCTCTGCCCCTCCAGCTCACCTGAAGCTCGCGGTCCCACTGCTGCTTCCCAGCCAGCAGGGCGTCCAGCAGGGCCCGCATGCCCTCCTCTTTGCCCTGGTCCTGCCCACTGATAACGTAGCAGAGGGCGCGCACCCGCCGGAAGAACTCGGCGTCCACCAGGCGGGCGCTGCTCCCACTGGGCAGGTAGGCCAGATCCAGGTAGACCGGACTGCCGGGCGGGACCGCCGGCCCACTGGCACGCCCCGCAGCTGTGCCTGCAGGAGGAGACTGGTCAGCACGCAGGAGGCGGGACCTGTCTGGGGAAGGGGCCCGGCCAAAAAAACGGAGGAGGAGGAGGAGGAGGGGCCACAGGGGCTCCCGGCCAGAAGTCTCCCTCTGCCGCCCTGCCCACCTCTCGGCTGCTCCAAGGGTGCCTGAACCTGAGCTCGGCTTTGAACTGAAGGTCTCCACCCAAACCTTGGGAGGCGGGCGGCAGAGGGTGAAACAACCAGGGGGGCTTCCCAAAGGAAGGGGCCTGGGAGACTGGAACACTGCAGCTTCCGGGTGCCCCCAGGGACTCTGCCAGCTAACAGGGGGAGGGGACAGCATGGGTCCGGAGTCTACACCATGACCTGTAGGCAAATCAGCCTGGCCTGTCTGCAGTTAAGGTGGGGGGACTAGAGACCCCAAGATCACGGCCCTGTTGCCTTCACCGTGCCCGGCAGCCACCCTCTGCCCCACCATGCTGGGGTGGGGGCTCAACTTCGAGAGGCCCTGGAAGGTCCTGGCTCCCTCCTCTGAACCTGCCTGAGAACTGGAGGCTGGGGCTGAGCTGGAGACCAGGCCAGGGCAGGTGGCCGAGAGCTGGGAGACGCCTGGCAGTAGGAACTTCTTACCAAGCCACTGTCCTGTTTTCAGGGCCACCCTCTGGGCGCTGGGACAAGGGTCTGGCCAGAGCCATCGCTTAGTCCCTGCAGCCCGCAACTGTTACTGCTGCTGTGGCTCTCTGGGCAGCCCTCCCTCTAGAGCAGCGGTTCTCAACCTGTGGGTCGCTACCCCTTTGGGGGTGTGTCAAAAGACCCTTTCACAGGTGTCACCCAATTCATAACAGTAGCAAAATTGCAGTTATGAAATATCAACGAAAATAATTTTATGGCTGGGGAGTCACTACAAAATGAGGAACTGTGTTAAAGGGTAGCGGCACTAGGAAGGTTGAGAACCACTGCACTAGCACTAAACGGGCCAGCAGCACCACCGAGTGGGGTAGACAGGCACAGTGGGTGCAACCTCCCCCACCCCCATCCCAGGCCCCGAGACTTGGAGGGAAAGGCGAAGGGACACATCTAATGGTTTCCAGAGGCTGCTGCCCAAGGCCTGACCAGCCTACACCTGGAAAACTGGGAGCCCGGATCTCAGCTCTGCCATTCCGGGAAATGCTGTGCGTGCCTCTCAGGGCCAACTGTGTACACACTACGTGGTGTATGCTGGATCCCTGTTGCCCCCAGTACCAACACTGGGCAGACAAGACACCACAGGAGCCAGCACAGCTGGCCGCTGCCACCCAGCAGCGATCTGCGCCCACAGAGGCACCTAGCACACAATCCTCCTACCCAGATGCACATGGGATGGCCATGGGCTTGGGGTGGGGACACTGAGAGCTGGCACACGGTGCGCTGGGTCTCACTGGTGGAGGATGAGGGGTCAGGGAGCCCTTGTGGCCCGAACTTCTAGAGCCTGCCCCTCCAGCTCCTGGAAAGGGCCATGGAGCAGGGGAATCTGTTTTGCTTGCTTGCTCCCTAACGGGGTCATGACAGACGGGCCTCAAATTACGCTCCATCGGGGCATCGCAGCGATAAAGCTCAGGGAGGGCAGATGCTTTAACTACTGAGGCCGGCACTGGCCACTTCAGGGGAAAACTGAGGGTGGGATGGGGCGGGGCCAAGGTTTCACAACTGATGGGGAGGACCTGGCTAGTGCCCCTCCTACCACCGCTGTCCAGCCTGCTTCCCAGTGCTTACCTGGGGGGCCTCGAGAGGTCGTCTTGGGAACAGAAGACTTTCGGGTCAGGAGCGTCCGGGCGGCCTTGTCCCCAGGCTCGGACCGTGCGCTGAGTGGCCGGCTGGCCCGGTCACCGCTGGCCAGCCCCTTGGTTTTGGCAGTGCCGGCTGTCGCAGCTTTGGGGCCAGTGGCGGTGGGGCCGGTGCGCGTCAGGGGCTTCCGAGCGCGCCCGAGGCTCTCCAGGCGCCGGGTCTGCTCGGGGTCCACCATGCAGACACCGGGCGGGGCAGGCAGTGGGCGGGGGTCCTTGAGTGGGTCCCGGCGGCGGTGGGGGACACCCAGGCTCTCGGTGTTGTCGTCATCTGAGTCCGCAGGGCCAGAGAGGGCAGGCAGGGGCTCGGAGTCGGACAAGGTGGGCAGGGACTCGCTGAGGGAGGTGGGCGGGGTCTCCTCGGCACCTGGCCCGTCCGAGCCCCGCTCCTG